TAAAAATTATAAATATATACAAACTTTTATTTTAAAAAATGGCATCATATGCTACATACTTTCTGCATTTTTCACTCAACAGCCGCCCCAGGCCTCCGAGTCCGAGGTGGGCGCGCTGTTTCCTAGACAGGTCCTTTGTGAGTGAGCCTTGGCATAGCCAGGTAGGTGCCCATGGCCTCTGAGTAGCTCACACTGCCCGGGCTCTCCCTACCCCCCATGGCGGGGCCCAGCAGTCCGAGGTGGGCGCGCTGTTTCCTAGACAGGTCCTTTGTGAGTGAGCCTTGGCATAGCCAGGTAGGTGCCCATGGCCTCTGAGTAGCTCACACTGCCCGGGCTCTCCCTACCCCCCATGGCGGGGCCCAGCCCAGGCTGGCAGGGCACTCACAGGGGGTTCAGGGCCTGCCCAGGGTTGGGGCTGGGGGTCCTCCATTCTGGTGTTGGCCTCCATCCCAAGATGTGGGTCTAGGAGGGTGGTGGGGCCATGAGGGTGCCGGAGGGGCCACCCTTTAGGGCCTGTCCAGGTCTGGGGCGGGGGACACGCAGGCCCAGCTGGGGCCTGTGCCGGTGGGAGGTGTGGCGCGTGCTGTCAGCTTCTGGATGTTGCTGTGGGCTTTGGTCAAAGACAGCGGGGAGGGTGGGGCCCGTTGCCTTGATGCTTTCCTGGGCCTGCAACCCCTCCGCAGGCAGGTCAGCCCCAGCCCAGCGTTGGGGGGGGGTGTTGGGGGGGCGGCGCGGATGGGTGTCCAGGGTCCTCTCCTCTCTGGTGGGTGCTGTTCCTCCCCGAGGTTGGGGTTGGGCTCAGGGTGCTTGCAGAGGTCTGTCCACCCCAGATGTGACCGGACCAGTGGGCACCTGCCAGGGGGCTTGTCCAGCCTTCCCATCCCTGTGCCCTTGGGCTGCTGGGAAGACGCCTGCCCCAGCCCCCGGCTGACCGGCTCCTGGTCCGAGGGGAGGGTGGAGGCGTGGCTGGGATGCCCTCTCCCCGCACTCCTGGCTGGTGGGGAGGACAGGCCCCTGGAAGTGCTGAGGGCAGAGGCAGGGCCTGGGCAGTCATCCCCATGGCTCTGGGGGGAGCAGGAGGTTGCAGCCCAGGAGGGGTGGGGTGCAGGGCACCTGGAGGAGGGGGACACAGCCTGGTCTCGGGGCTCTAGGACCTCAGTGGGTGACGCATGGCTGGCTAGCAGCCAAGTCTGTGTGAGTCCAGGCATCTGAGCACACGTGTGCTCTGCCGGTGTGTCCCTGCATGCGCACTGCCTGTCGCTGCGTGTGCAAACCTGCCTCCCTGCCTGGGCGTTCAGAGGCCCAGTGACCAGAGTTTGGGGATGCAGCTCCCCTGTTTGGGGCCGCTGGTCAGTGTTGCCCCCATGCCCCACCGCCCAGCTGCTACCCGCTGCCCCCGGAGGGACCTAATGCCCAGGGGAGGGCTGTCCCGCATTCCTGGGGGCTGCCTGGTCTCTGGGGATGGAGTCCACACATGGGCCTGTGCCCTTGACCGGGAATGGAATCGTTATCTTCTGGTTCACAGGTCGATGCTCAACCACAGCGAGGTGGGCCGGGCGTTTGTATTTATTTTCACTTTATTTGTTAATCCTCACTGGAGGATAGTTTTCCACTGATTTTTAGAGAGAGTGAAAGGGGGGGGTGGTGGAGAGAGAGAAACATCGATGTGGGACACATCGACTGGTTGCCGCCCACTTGTGCCCCAACCCAGAGGGGGACTGGACCCTGATGCCCAGTGACTCGCACGGGGTGCGGCCTCATCCTGCTGTCTTCCCACAGAGCTCCCGCCCGCCTGCCTTGGGCCTGCTGA